TCATCAGGGTTAGAACTCATTGGGGAAATAGGTCGGGAATTGAGTACAGACTCTATGCGAGTGATTAAAGTTTGAAAATCAAAAAAGAATAAAGAATGGCTTCCCACGACTCGTCGTAAATGGTGTTTCAAGCTTTTGACACCCGCTTCCCAACTGCCCCCAAAATGTGGAGAATTAGTGGGTATGAAATGCCAAGTGATTCCCATGTTACTAGTGGATGTGTAAATATTGGCAGAATTGTTATGCAAGAATTCACCGATTTCTCTGAGTTCTTTATTAGCCTTGACAAAGTTGGTCCCATTGTCTGAATAGACCACATGTGGTTTACCACGTCTACTGATGAACCGATTGAAAGCTTGAAGGAAATCGCTACAAGTCAAAGACAGTACTAACTCTAAATGAATGGCTCGAGTGGCCATACATATAAACAACGCTACCCAGCATTTTATAGGCTTGCAGCCACGTTCGCGCTTATTTTTCATTATGAAGGGTCCGGCGTAATCTACACCTATGGAAGAGAAAGGTAAGTTTGGTCGTACGCGAGGTTCAGGTAAGTCACCCATGATAGGCTGAACACTTTGTACGTTATGTCTTGAACAAACTACGCACTTTCGAACAATTTTTCTAGCAAGGTTTCGCCCAGACGTAGGCCAGTAATTGTCTCTAATTGTTGACAGGAGCAACTGCGGACCTGCGTGCATTAAACTGATGTGCTGATAGTCAAAAATAAGGTTCGTTAGGTGGTGACTAGGAGATAACAAAATTGGATATTTCTTCGCGTAAGGAAAATCTGAATTTGATAGTCTGCCACCCACACGCAGAATTTGTTGCTCATCCATAAAGGGATGTAAGTTCAATAGTTTACTATTTGAAGCTAACTGACCTTTGGCTTGCAGTATATTATACTCTTCGGGAAATGCCTCCTTTTGAGAAAGGCGAATCATATGAGTTAAACTGATATTAAGCTCATCCGCGGTTAAAAGAGCGCTATTTCTCGACTTGGATTTACAATTCTCAATGAATCTCAGAATATAGGCAAAGGATCGCTTCAATTTTACGAGATTAGAAAATCGTTCAAATGGAAAGTGAAACTTCACCTTGAATAAGAAACAAAGTTTTCTTTGTTCAGGTAATTCCACAGGCGAAATCGGCATTACAGGCCAGTCATCTGGACTACTTAACCAAGAGGGTCCGTGAAACCATAACTTGGAATGAAGTAGTTGTTTGGGATTAAGACCTCTTGATACGATATCCGCTGGATTATCACATGTAGGTACGTGTCTCCATTCGAAAGTCTCGGTAAGTCTCTGAATTTCGGCTACGCGGTTCGCAACAAATGGCTTTAGTAGGTTTGGAGATGTTTGTAGCCAACCCAACACGATGGTTGAATCCGACCAACATGAGCAAATTTAATATCAAGGGTGTTTATGACCTTTGCTGTCAATTGAGACAGGACTAGAGCGGCGCACAATTCCAGTCGTGGCATCGTCAAAGATTTGAGAGGGGCTACCTTTGACTTTGCGCACAGTAGATTTGACGATGCAGTTCCCTTTGCGTTTTTTGAAACGACATAAACACATGCTCCATAACTAGATTCCGAGCTATCGGCAAACGCGTGCAGTGCTATGTAGGATGGATTGGTACAAGTTACTTGTCGTTCGACTAACAAATGGTTTAATGCATCTAAATCAGTCGAAAACTCAGACCATGCTTTAAGAACATGACTCGGTGACGGCTGGTCCCAGGTAAGTTTTTCAGACCAAAGTTTCTGTAATAATATTTTGCGGATTATTATGCAAGGGCTAACTAGACCCAAAGGATCGAAAATAGTCGAAATTCTGGAAAGAATGGTCCGTTTCGTGACTTGAGTATGTTGTACCTTGTTCACGTTTATTTTATATTTCAAAACATCTTGATCGCATTTCCAAGAGAGACCTAGAGTCTTAGTTTCGTGATCTTTGTTTGCTGAAAATTCCACAATATTCTGCGAATATTCTTTGCCTGAATCATTTGTTAAGTTTTTACTATTAGATTTCCACTTTCTCAGTTCAAAACCCCGCTGGAGTAATATCCGTGAAATCTGATCTTTTATATAACAAGCTTCATCCTCAGCATTGACAGAAGTTAATAAGTCATCGACGTACATATCGTTTCGGATGATCTTCGATATCGTTGGGTGCTCAGTTTCGCACTCATCAGCAATTTGATGTAAACATCTGATCGCTAAAAAGGATGCCGCTGTAGTTCCGTATGTGACGGTATTCAATTGAAATGTTTTAAGTGGTTCATTGGGATTTGAACGCCATACAATTTTCTGTAATTTACGCTGATCAGGATTCATCAATACTTGTCTGTACATCATCTTTATATCACTAGACAGTTCAACGGATCGCAAACGAAATCTAATAATAATGTTGAAAAGATCTTGCTGAATGATAGGACCTGTCATCTGTAAATCGTTCAAGATAACCTGATAAACCGCTAGATGTAGGCATCGACGCATTAAACACAACGCGCAATTTTGTGGTGCAGCTGGATTCTTTCAGTACCCCGTGGTGCGGCATAAAATATTCCGTATCATCCTTTCCATCGCACGTGATCTCTGTCATATGTCCTAAATTCGCGTATTGATCTAAGAAGTCTATATACAATTTCCGGAATTTTTCATTGGTCATTAACCTTCGTTCAAGTGATATGAATCGTTTGACTGCAATGTCACGAGACTCGCCAAGTTTTGCCGGAGAGTCCTTAAGTGGAAGAGATACTACATATCTATCTTCTTCAGAAGTTGTCAAGTGATTTACGAAATGTTCTTCGCATAAAGTCTCTTCTACCGACCAGGGTTTTTTGGATCTACTTCCTCAACTTCCCAGAATTTAGCTAGTTGGTCTTGGACCAAAATATTTCTGGTCAACCCACAATGCGATTTTGTCTTAGGTATATCCATTGATCCAGCAACAACCCAACCTAACCGGGTATTCTGTAATGTAGGCAAATTAGTACCTAAATGGATTCGTCCCAAGCTTAAGAGATCCCAAAAGGCATTTGCTCCGATCAAAACGTCAATGGATTGCAGATCATAGAACTCTGGATCGGCTAACTCGATATTAACAGGGATATTTAGATATTTGGCATTTATTGGAGCATCGGGAATGTCAGTGGTGATCTTGTCCAGCACAAAACATGAGAGATTAAACGAATAAGAACCTACACTGGACTTTATTATTATGTCACATTTGTAATTTGCATAAGTCAATTTGTCGTTAATACCAGATACCGCTAATTTTTGCTTAGTTTTAGTTATGAGCCGCAGTCCAATAACGCTCGAACAACAGCATGATGTTTAGAATTGGCAGTACTATATGCTTTCACCCTTGCAGTAGGTAAGATACCGTTTCTCATAGTTGCCAATGTACAATGACTAGTAGCAACCTCATTGTCGTCTAATGATTGTTCTAAATTTTCTTCATGCTGAAAAAAGTTGTTATGATCTACGACGACAGCTGAGTTAACAGGAGAGACAGGGGTCTCATTTGGATTGTGCAAGACAGTGTTATGTTTAAGACTACACATTTTACAACCTGCCCATTTGCAATCTCTGGTTGTATGATTTCTTTTAAGACAGTTCAAGCATAATTTTAAAGATTTAGCCTTAGCAATTCTATCCTTTATTGACATTTTCTGAAATGCTTGACAATAAAGCAACGTATGATCACCATTGCAGTGATAACAAGCATATTTTGGCTTTATGTCAGAACTGGCCTTATCAGTATCATTGCGAGTTAACAAAGTTCGACAAGGATACCTTGGTTTGATATATCTTTGTGCATCTGCATTGGGTTTGTGGGACGCATTACCCTTTTTCTCATTATTGTGATCAAAACTGGATTCAAACGTTTCTAATAAGTTCGCTCGTCTTTTGAGACACTCTGTAAAATCGTTTAATGTAACACCTGCATGACCTGCTGTATACCTCTGTCATTCATTGGCTGTACCTTTATCTAATTTTGACTTAAAAATGTAAATCAAAAGTGTGTCCCAAGACTCAGTTGGTTCACCTAATCGCTTGAGGCTACTCAAATGTGTCAAAAATGCCTCATAAAATTGTCTAATTTTGCTAGCAGTCGCATTACCTGAAATTTCTAGGGTAAAATAGCCTTTAAGAGGTTCTGGGCTAAAAGTTCCTTGTTGTCGAACCTGTCGCACAGTGTGGACCAAGCATTGACATAATTGTCAGCTGTGAAATCAAAGGATTGAATAACTGATTGTGCCGTACCAATAAGTGCGGCACGGAGATAATGCTATTTTTGAATGTCGTTGATTTGGGCATTATTATGAATCATAGATTCGAACATGTCTCTAAAACCCTATCCAATTTTCGTAAGTTCCATCAAATTTGGGCAGTTTGATCTCGGGTAGCTTGATACCCTCCATTGTGATCGGTTTTTAATCGCTGCGCTAGGGCACACGGGCTGCTTGGAATCCACCCGCAGTTTCTCTTTTCAGCTGCACTATTTCGTGTTTTCCATAGATCCCATCAGGCTCGAAGGTCCATGTGGCGTGTTGTCAGAAAATAGGCACTGGTTCTAATAGTTGGATTTATTCAGTGATACAAATGCGTCTGTGATTTCATAATATAAAAAAATGCGGCGGCTTGTTTGTCCATGGGAAGACGGGTGGTGAGTGTCTACGTGACCAGGACGGCAGTCTTCCCGAGATTCCCCCACTCGTGAGTACACCTGGCTTCATTGGTAGGACGTGCAGGGCGCTTCACGCAGTGGCAGGACATGAGGTACGGAACAAAGTTCACTGAACAATATGTTGAACATTTGTATACATTATGACGCAGAATAAGTAATCAATAACTCCAACTGTTATTTTCTTTTGAACTGTGTAATTAATTATGGGATGTTGCAAACAAGATTTGGTTTCAAAGACATGAGAATAAATAAAGTAAAGGATGGTTCCTGATCGTTAAATGCCAAAACCAAAATTGAAGTGGATTTATAAATATATTTGTTGCGTTCCAAGATTAAAAAAACAATATAAATTTACTAAAGATTTTCGAAAATGCTTTAATTGGTCTATACGAAATAGATTTAAAATCCATCATGACTATATCGTAAGCGTAAATATGAGATACTAACATTTGTCTGAAACCTCCGTCATTCAGTCATTACAGCACATCACTTAGTCACTTCATGAATGGCATTAGCAACGTACTGCACGTTTTTTGTAGTTAGTCCTGCCACAGAAGTTCTTCCATCTGCAGGAAGATATATGTGGTAGTCATCCGTTAACTTCTTTACTTGTTTCGGTGTCAGTTTGCTGAGACAAAACATTCCAATTTGATGCACGATGTGGTCCCAATTGTGCTTTGATCCTGCTTTCTCAAGATTTTCCTTCAAAGCATTCCTCATAGCTTTCAGCCTAAATATGGAAAAATAACGTGATGTATTTGTAACAGTTACGTTTTGTTATAATTATGTAGACTTGGTCCGCCTAATAATCATTTACCGTATGTGATATACAGGTGTAGAAAGACTTTCTCATACTAATATGCGAAAAGTTGGACATTTTTGCCCAACTAGGAGAACATTTTTTTTAAATACAATTTGTCAGGTCTGAAATTTTCTAACAATTACGGTATTATAATATTGTTTTGGGCATATTCTGGATTTTGGATTGGAGGAAGGGCAATCAATCAAGATCATAGCACTTAAGCCCCATTAGGCCCTTTGTAGGTCTTCCCCAGAGGTTACTAGGGTCTGGATCGTCAGCCACCCCAGACTATTGAATAAGGTGGTGATGCGACCCAGCTTAGTTTCTCGTACGCTAGCTATTGATCCTGATGACTAGGCAGTCAAGAACAAGGTCCCAAAGAAGTGATGATAGAACCCCGCCCTGTGGGCAGCCCCTTGTTACCAAGCTTTTTGCGATAACATCTCATACACGGACTTCTGCTACCCTTTTAGATAGCTTGTTAAGTAACCATCCGCTCTCAGTATTGGAAACTTCTTACCTGAATGCTCTATTACGATTTTCTGGAATGTGGTTTTACCAATGCACCTTATTTATCTATGAAAACACCCATGGTAAAGTCCTCTGATTTCTAAATCCTTCCCGTTACTGCATGTAAGACAGTATCAGTGGATTTACCTGGGTTGTATGCATGTTGATTTTGATGCATAGGATTGTTCTATAATATATTACTACTGCTATAAGGGTCTCAGGCTGATTGTTTGAAACGGCTTTGGGGTGGTGTAATTCATCCTGCCAATTTTTGGTACACTCTGAAAATTCTTTTTAGGGGTGGCAGCAATTGATGTAGGCCCCATTGTAGTAGGGCAAGGTAAATGCCATCGATGCCTGGTAATTTGTAGGGGGCGAAGCCAAGTATTTCCGATCTTATCTTGCCCTGGCTTACGATCTGATTGATAATTTGCCGAATAAAAATCATAATAAAGGTCATACATATAGCTCAACAATGAATACCTTTTACCAACAAACATTGCAGTTAATAATTAACATTTATCAGAGATAAGTTGTAATGAATTTTACATGTCGGCCATTGTGAATTTCATACACATGTATATGATAAACTTCTACACTGCGATATAGGGCTATTGAATTACTTGCGCAGCAAATCTTATTGCGAATATCGTGCAAAGTAGTTACGCAATTTTTCCGGGTATTTTATTAATATTTTAATAATGATCAAAAGTATGTTTAGATTTTTAAGATGAAAAACTGAACTTATCTCCGTTAAATATTCCACAAATCCTATATTTAGGCACAATTACACTAATGTTTATCACTTTATATCTGTAATGTCGAACTGAAACATAATTAATTAATTTTCAATAGAAGAATATATTTTTGCCCAACATGGCGGGTAGTTATGTATAATCATGGCATCGTCCATGTTGCCTCTGGTTTATTAGAATATTTTGGTCTTGTCTGCAAGTGTTACACAACAATTTATCAAATCTCAGAAATGAAATACGGACAGAGTCCAATGATTTACCCAAAATTTGTACCAGATCTATATCTCCTGTTTGAACAGTTGATAAAACCTTTTAAACCAATATGCATGTCTTCAAATATTGGTTATGGCATTGTAACTAAAAAGATGACAGCAGAAAGTTAGGTTATGGTGAAGCTGTATACCAACATATTTAGCAACAAATGTATGCCGCGCACAGTAAGTTTGTACTATAAAAGTTGTAATATTGTTGCAGATGTACAGCCTTTAACAGTTACTAAACGACAGTTGCATAAGTGCTTCCGTTGGGAGCAATTTGTTGGCTAAAGTAGTAAATTTGCACACCAAAACAACAAGGATCAGGTTTGTTGTATAAACGTTACCATGGATGCCACAATACAACTATTTTGACTACCGCGCAAATATGCCGTATAAAATAGTTGTATAAACGTTTATGCAACCATTCAAAATTTGTCCTATAAGGTGTTGTATAACTATGCTATAGGTAAGAATATCTTAAACACCTCATTTTAGAGCAAATATGCTGCAGAAAGCAAATTTACATTCCACACAACATGGTGTTCAGGCAAAAACAATAGAGAGCTTTCACGGCTGAACAGTTCTTTTATCAAAAGCTTATAGCACTACTTTGCTAGTTTGGCAATAATTAGTCGATTAATCAAAAAATGCAGAACCTCAGTAATTTTTAAAAATATGGCGTCAGGTAAGTTGACTCAGTACTTCCCATGCTACGCTGTAATCAGTTCGTGAAGGATTATGTGTGGCACAAGTTAGCCCTTGTAAGAAAAAAGTTAGCTACGAACATGTATAACAAAAATTGAATGACCTTCCTTTTCCTCCTGAGAGGAATTGCTGCAGGCGCACATGATCGTTGCAATGACCAATCCCGCGTGAATGACGATATTGGCTTTAATCATGCACAGTCCACAGCAGTGTGGAAGCGATTGCCGATACCAACATCAAAAAAATTGATATATACCATCCCCAAGCCCCTGCAACCCCTAGCTCCCAATGTTTAACCTAAAAGCGATTAGAATCGTCTAAAACGTCAAATAAACGAAGTGTGTGATGATTTTTTTGTTTTAGACCTTTTCTCGCCTCCACTGGACCAATTTTAAAAAAACACAAATATCCTTGTCATAGTAGTAATATTGTGTAAAAATTTCATCGAAATCGGTACTTCTCAAGTTATAGGCTATAAGATTAGCGGACAGACCGACAGACTATCAGACCGAGGAAAAAAGGGTAACATGGTTTTTCGTCATGTCAGAAACATCAAATAACATCTCATTTTCGAAAATCTTCCCGATTACAGTACTTCCCCGCCAGAAGGCGTGGAAAGTGAAACTGCATGCGAGTGGTGATTTTGGCATTAAGGCTGACGACTCTCAGTTCAATCTCAGCGAAATCAGTGTATGACTTGGCACCATAAGGCTAAAAAATCTGTGAAACTTCGATTAGTTTTAAATCAAATACCTTTCAGACATCATTTTGACTTCCTGAAACCACATATATTTGAGATTTTCATCTGCCAGAATTTCTACAACTATTCTAGACCCATGTATTGGTGGGCTTGAATATGTTTTTCTTATGATTTCTTCCATTTGCGTCAGAATTGTGTCAGCTTCGCTTTTGCAATCAGCTATAAATGTACACGACCCTGTTCGTTCACCTAGAAGTAAAAAATAACGTCAAATAGGCTGACTGCACTTCCTACGAGACGCTGCCATCAATTCATGAAGTATTAAATTCGGCACAAATTAGTCCCTGTTAAAAAGAAGGAATCAAATGAATCATGTCAGTCAAACCGGCTATTGCAATTAGTCCATAGTCCCCACATATTTGACAACATTGCGATCTAGCCTATCGCCCTACTAATAAAACCGACCACCCAACAACGATGCCTATCGAGGCCATATACACAGGATTGTCGAACCGAAAATTGGGAACATTCAAGTACAAAATCATCGCAAGATCATCGGTGGTTTAAGGGGGATTGTGCCAAGCAGCACCGTTTGTAGAAAAAAGTATATTTTTGTTTTCGGCGCACACACAACACGTTTCTTTTCCTGAAAAAGTATTGACTTCTTTATTACAACTTACACAGGGTACATTAGAAAGAACGCATATTTTTTAAATGAGTAGTACAGTCAAAATAAATATGGGAAAAATATTTTATTATATCAAAATACTCAGAAATACATGCCATTTTGTTGAGTAAAACAAAATTTACGTTCTAAAAACTATGCCGGCCATATGGAGCCCTTGAGCCGAAATGCACGAATCAAGCCTCTTCTGAAATGAGCCCATTGCATGGGCCAGCATCCGTGCAGGAATTTGGGATACTTCTCTTCTTATTTCCTCCTTCAAATCGACGAGGGTCAGAGGCTTGCTTTGGTAAACTTTTGATTTCAGGTAGCCCCATAAAAAAATCACACGTTGACAGGTCCGGGAAGCAAGGGAGCCATAATTTTAACAAAGGTGTCAGTATTCACTTTACTAAATTGAAATTTGGATTGTAGTTATTTTTATTAGCTTGGTAATATGCAATTTTATCAGCACACCTCAATTCACTATTCTCAAAAAATGCCCTAGTTATTTTATGCGGATCTTATAAACTAACGGGAATTGTAGAAACTCTGAAATTGCACTTTGAAATCCTTTAGGGTTTTATGAAGCTTTTTATATCCTGATTTTGAACAGCTTGTCAATAATCTATTTTTTATTTATCTCACTACATATATTTCATGTAGCAACTTGCTTATCTGATACTCACCATATAAACCCATGCTTTTCGAATAACTCTGCAATATAGCTACTTTATGACCATCTTGAAGAAATGTTCTAAACGAAAATGCGTCATTATAAAAATCACCGGATGCAAATCCTTGGTAGGCAACATCGAATACTGGAAATAATTGTCTCTTCTTGACTAACTGTGAGATTTCACACCATTGTTCCTGACTGGGGTCTACACCAGTAGGATTGTGAGCACAACCTAAAAAATGGCGTCAGGTAGGTTGACTGTATACTTCTTACGCAACCCTGCTGTCAGTTCATAAAATATCTTGTTCGGCGTAGGCTAGTTATAAAAGTGAACTACTATCACCCATAACCGAAGATTTGAATCTGGATTAAGTCAGTCAAATAGAATCATATGCAATTAGTCCCAGTCTCCAGTCATTTGACAACGTTGTAGCTTAGAAATTGTTGTGATGCGCCAGGTCGCAACATGGTTATTTTCTATTTGCATTGCGCTCGACTCGGTTATTGAAAATATCACTCAAGTCTTAATGGCAAATTTACTGGGAAAAAAAAAAATAAGTGAATAGAATTACCGGAGTTAGAAGCGTATAATTTACTGACTTAAAAAAATGCAAATGTACCTTACTCCACCTTTCACATTCCTCCATTCTCAATTTTTAGCTATCAAACAATTTACAGCAACGTTCATAACCTCGAAAAGTCAAAAAAAGAAGTTTCGATTATTTTATTTTTCCCTTTTTTCCCTACTCCACCACTGGATCAGGATTGAAAACCCACCACACTTGTCCTTGGCATAGTAAATAGTAACTTTATTTCAAAATCCCATCAAAATCAGAGATATGAGGGGCCAAGGATTAGCGGACCGACGGATACATGATTTCGGTACATATCCTGTAATATCCAAAATATATATCATTTTAGAAATCTTAGCACATTTTAGAATCGGTCATCAATGTTTAAAAATGATGAAAGTTCAACACTTTTATTAATATTTGCATAATATGGTGAATGTTCTTTATTTCGAGTACGGAAAAGATTGTAATGTTGAGATTTCGAAAATGATTCACATGTCATGTTATACGTCGTATTTCCATTCCAGGGAATGAATGGGTGTTCTGAAATCTGTTTCAAATTTAACTCATTTAAATCCTCTCCTTACCTACACAATGTTTCAGAAAGATCCACCCAAGAGAATAATATTGACTTGACATATACTAAGTGACATATAAATCCGATCACCCAGTTTAAATGGTTTTATTTTTAATGATAAAAATTTCAAAATGATTGCACTGCTTTAAAGCCCTTTGACCTTTAATAATGTGTGGATGCATCCTGATGTGCTACGCATTCTCCAACGCGCCTAGGCATGCTTCTGATCAGGTGGTCAATGTCCTCCTGTGGTATCTCATTCCAGGCAACCACCAACTCCTCTCGAAGTGCTTCTAGAGTCTGAGGAGGACGTTGCAAATTGAGCAATCTTCGTGGATATAACGCTGCGCGTTCATGTTACCTCTGATGAAGATTAAAGGTGACCTGGAACCATAAGCTATAGCACCAAAAAACCATAACTCCAACAGTGTGATGAACATGTCTTTCAACAAAAAACTGTGGATTCCTCCTTTCACCACGTCGCCTTCTAACCCTTTCACGACCATAGTGCATGCCTAAACAAAATCGAGACTCGTCACTAAAGACAATACTGTTCCATTCCTGATCCCAGAGTGACCGTTGTCTGCACCACTCAAGGCGATTACGTCGGTGTTCTCGAGTTAAAGGGAGGACCCAGTGTGGCCGGTATGAAAACAAACCAAAACTTCTCATTCGTCGGTAAACACTTCGCATGCCAATAGGTCTTCCGTGTTATGCAAACCATTCATTTGCAATGGACCTGGTAGTGGAGAAACGGTCCCTTAAGGCCAATAATCTTAGGCGGCGATCTTCACGGTCTGTTGTTCTACGGCGGCGTCCAGTGCCCCTGGCTCTTTGCGTACGGCCTTCTCGAAGCCATGCCTGACAGCACCTAACCACAGTGTCTACACTTCTTTGCATTCTAACTGCAATTGCCCGAAAAGAAAGTCCAGCTTCCCGAAGTCCCACTATACGGCCCCTATCAAACTCACTAAGTTGACGAAATCGTACAGGTCTCCGTACTCTAGGCATCGTAACCGATCGTAAAGGATGTCAAGAACCAAAATCCGCCAACGTTGATTCTTTACTGCGGCTGAAATATTCATTTTTAGAGCGTTAGTGAATTAAAAAAAAAGCAGTATAAAAACTGGAATGTCCAACTTATAAGGCTGAACATTTTTTCACTTGTTATTTACAGTAAGATAAATACATTCACCAACTTTTATTAAAATAAAACCATTTAAACTGGGTGTTCGGATTTATATGTCACTTAGTATACTATAGCGTGTTGGTGATTGGATGTGGAGTTATAAGCGGGTTAATTTACACAAATACTTTAACAGTCTTCTATCTTCTATCTTCTAGGATTATAAAGTACGCACAATGAAGTATCTATCACATGACCCTCATTCCGTTTTAAAACATATTTTAACTGCCACTTCTACGTTAAAATATATAACCCCGAATTTCAGCTTCCCATTATATTATGTATGTATAAAAAAACTTAATTAGTTATAAATCGATGACGGCATGGCGTAGGAAGTGCCAGTTTTTTAATAATGGATAATTACTTTCGTAGCCCTGGTATTATTTGCTTGGGAAAAGGTACCAAAAATAGATCAGATTCTTCATTTCACGAAAAATCTTTATATTCACAGAAGGCAAGAACACTGGTGAACGTGTGTTCGTTATGTCACACCCGAATAATTAGAGCCTTAATGTTGTCACCATATCTGATCATGTTATGGATCATCGGGCAATATTTGTAGCCCGGTCATATATATCAGATATATTTGCAATATGCAGATACACACCTGGTCCAAATTCCCCATCAGAAGTACTAGAAAATCAGGCAAGAATGATTGGCGAAATTGTACGCATAGCGGCATCACTTATATCACATTGCATTAAATACGATTAACATAACTTTATTGAACTGGTAGTCGCAATTATAAATCGCCGGGCGTGGTGACCCCTTCTCACCTGTTCAGGTAACAAATTCGCCGTTTAGATGTTTGCTTAGCAGCAGACAGCGGCACTCTATACGCATAAAACTATTTTACTATTAAGTCTTAAGTTTATGAATATACTATCGCCAAAAATTGCGGTATACCCCTCAACAATATCGAAATGATCAGGAGTCTCTGAAACATCGAAAAACGTTTGAGCTATTTTTCCTCTATCGTCTGTAGCTTGGCCGCCGTTGGACCAATTTACAAAAATTACAAAGCTTTTTCGTCCTTCGCATAGTACGAACCTTCTCTGAAAATTCCATCAAAATTTGAGCAGTACTTTCCAAGTTATAGACGGGCCAAGGATTTGTGGACGGACAGACAGACAGACCGACGGAAATTAGTGACATGGCTTTTCGAGATGTAAATACAACATGTCATATAACATCAAAAAAACATAATATCTCATTATCGAATTTTTTCTCAATTACAATACTTCCTCGCCAGTGACAGCGTATGAAGTAAAACGTGACAGTGACAGTGTATTTTTACATATTAAATATACTGACACTGTTACCTGATATATAAAAATATATATACAAAATATATTGTCACAGTCATTTTATTATTGTACTTTTAGAAAGACCACCGAGGTGGCCGAGGCGTGAGTGAAAACTCAGGCCAACATATGGTTTCAGTTAATGGCCAGAAGACATGGGGAATCAAGCTGACGTGTTTCTCACACATGACTATCTATATTCACGTATCTTATTATTAAGGGAATCATTGAATTTCGCAACAAAAATATTTGCACAGGAATAGAATACAAACGTTAGTAGTGATATCTGTACCTATAGGACCGCCTTATTTCAAAATTTTCGAGCCACCTTTTTTTTACTACGCTGAAGTGACCAGAAAGTAGAAAAATCAATTTTAGGATTATTCATATTTTGACTTCCATAACCTTTTTTTCTCTATGCAAAAACTCTGAAAACAGAAAAACTAAGCTTGAGTACTCCTAATTTTTTGTTGTCTACTTACTTCTTCGCCATCGCTGGTAGAGGCATATGAAAAGTTATTTTATGATTGACATAGTAGTGACTGTGAACTGTGTGTCAAAATTCCACCGAACAGGAATTTATTTCCGAACTACATTGCTATGGTTCAAAGCAGTCGTCCACCAACAGAAAGAACTTGAATTTGGATGATAAACAATGTGCACGTCATCGGAACACTCCGGTCTTGGACTGTTGCTTCTAGCCCTGCCTGTGGCTGAAGCACGCTCAGCACGTATCTTCAAAAGTGACATTATGGCGATTTTTTTTTTTGATATTGTATCAATTTTTTGTGACAATATGTAGGTTTTTCTACAAGATTTTAACTTAGCACTAGCTGATGGACTCGTTGTGAACTCGTTTTGTAGTTGTACGTGTTGCATAAACGTCATGATGCTTCAGTTATCAATGTTTGACTATGATGTGATATAAAATCTGCTCCAGAGATGGCATTACTGGAGGTCTAAGCTGTAAGTTGTTTACTATAGCTAGAACGAAACGGCAGTGCATGGGTGCATAGTGAGGATTTGTGTGCTAATAATATGGGTTGATGATACTTCCATTGGATTCCTGTCTCAAATACACTTGCTTGACATTCAAAGCTAGAAATTAGTTGCGCATCCACTTTTTCTTATCCATTCAGGGAATTACATACGCAAAGGAGGTGGGTTGATAAGGGCCATTTTCGCCCATAACATACTCAAAAATAAAAAGTTCGATTCCAGACTATTATTGAATTTATTTGTGAACTTCTAGACGTGTATTTTTCATTATATAGTACTTACGGTATAAATAATGTAATATGCTTCAGAAATTATTGCCAAGAAATAGAGTATTTAGCGCTTTTTGTGCATTTTTGTTGTTTTTCTATCTTTGAATCATGTTTTCCTTATGAAGCATTCCATGAACCACATTAATTTTAATGCTCAGTGAGTCTACTTATTATAAGCTTGTATATGAGTATTTATTTGTTTTGGTTCAGTGAGCGCATCAATCCAAAAGTACGTAATATATGCTGCGGGAGAGTGTAAGTCACGCTGCAATCGCTGCGTGTTCAGACATGATTTTTCGCGCTCGAAAAGTATTTACGTAGTAAAGGTAGGTAGGTAGCAGATGGATAGGGAGGTCTGGTACAATTTCTGCTGGCTAGCGGCAAAAGAAAAAGTTTACTCAGTCATTCGAAAATTTAGCCGAGCTACGGCCCTGGTATTACGTATCTTGGAAAGTCTCATTATGCCGATTTTTTTTGACATTATATTAGTTTTTTGTGACATTATGTAGGTTTTTCTACAAGATGTTAACTTAGTACCAGCTGATGGACACTTGTTGTGAACTCGTTTTGTAGTTGTACGTGTTACCCAAACGTCATGATGCTTCAGTTATCAAAGTTTGCCTCTGATGTGATGTAAAATCTGTTCTAGAGATGGCATTACTGGAAGTCTAAACTGTAAGTTGTATACTATAGCTAGAAGGAAACGGCAATGCATAGGTGCATAATGAGGATTTTTGTCCTAATAAGATGTGATGATGATTATTCCATTTTATTCCTGTCTCAAATACACTTAAACTTGAGATTCAAAGCTAGAAATTAGTTGCGCATCCACTTTTTTCATCCATTTTGAAATTACATATGCAAATTTGCTGGATTTCAAAAATGAGATCGATAAGAAATAATTATATTCACTATACACTGTCGAATTACAAGTCATATACATGCTAACAGTAATTACACACAACGCGGGCGCGATGGCGATTTTCCGTAATTCTCCTCAAAGATTTTGAAGACACAAAAAAAACGTAAAAAATCGTAATTTATAACTTTGAACATAACCTGTCTTCAGAAAGGACAACATATAAATAACCCGTCGGGCACAGCTAATAGATATACCTACTTGATTGACAGCATATTCAGTAATGATTTTCTACACAGAAAATATCACTGATTTTATACACATGCAGACCAGTACACAATCATCCAGATGCGATCTTGCCATTCAATCAACGTTCTTCTCAGAGGTGAAAACTACTGTCTACTCTGCTTCACAAAACATATCGTCAGCATAATATTCAAATCACATAAGTCCACTTTTTGAAGAAAATTAGATATTGGAATTTTTAGTTGATACTATGTGACGCGCATGTCCCAAGAATTGCTCATAACTCGCAAAAAATGCGTAAGCGACATATTCAGCGTCAAGAATTTCACATAACACTCGCCCTTGCTCTGACCGACAGTGACATCACATAAGTCCATACAAGCTTAAAAGTTCAGTGTTTTGGTATGCCTTAATGCAGTCTATGCATGTCTGTTGTTGGCGGTAATATTTGATACTTGTGCATGTTTAGCATGGAGTAAAACTCTTATTGGGTAGGATAAGGTAACAGTACCACGTTGAATCAGGATTATATTAAATTAGACGTTGAATAGCGACTAATTGTCTTGTAAACGGAAACTACGGAGCTATGTGATTTTATCGTTCGGACTTATTTGATTTGATCACCATAGATATAAAATATAAACACTTCAGACTTGGGATAGTTTTTTCCATCTCCTCGAAAATCAGTGGTATGGGACTTGTGTGCTTTGTATATTAAGCCGAGGATATGCAACCAACAATGCGTGTGGAAGAGCCATTCCGCCATAGATGGATGCTCACAACGATCATAGTGAGCAAACGTGGAATGACTGTTTGCACCCTAAAAACTACCTAGTATGTGAGATGACATTTTATAGGTTTTTGACATAATTCGTCATTTATTTGTCTGGGCGGTCCGTAGGACCTTTGCCCATTAGTCACTGTCTGATGTACGTTAGTCGAATCTGTCAGTCCTGGTTGCCCAGAAACCAGACAAAGTCAAGGAGACATAATACCCGTGCGGCTCACAAATATTAGGACATTCTGGAGTGACCCCAACATTTTTGTGCACTTACCTTGGAAAAATGCAATAGATTTTTCCGGAATCTTGTTAATATCGTCCATCAGCCCTTCAAAATCTAGTTTCGAGACCTTTGGATCACAATATCGGTACCAAGCTACTTCCAAGCCCACAAATTTGAAAATTGCTTCATGATTCGCCCATGTGGGCTGAGGCAAATAAATACATGTGTTACCAGGAAAAAATTGTGCCATGAATTTACCAGAAACGTAGAGTGCTCCAGATCCTAGCGATGTACAAGAAAAATAAGAAATTATAAGTTACAATAAAATATGTGTTAATTATGGTAGTTATTTCGTTATTTTGATTTAATTGTTTATTTTTTATCAATATTACATTTATCTACGACTGATATATATATATATATATATATATATATTTGAGACGTGGTCATTGTCGTTTAGACCAGTTAGGTGAAAAATTAAAGCTTCCGCCTTTTGTTGGGTACTTCGACAAAATTTATGCAAAGAGGACTCTTTATACTTTTTTTATACTCTCTAGCTTTCAATGGTCTTTGCCATCATCATCAGGAGCTGCAATTACATTAATAACAGTAGCAACAATAGTGTAAAATGAATTTAATTTAACTTACAGTAGTATGTGAGGATGTTGCTAATTGTTGTTTACGTTAAGGATGAGGGAAACACCCAGTAACATGGTGAAAGCTGGATAAATGGTACAATTGTCAAAATTATACAAACTACACACAGCTATATGACAAGAAGAAGTTAAAAACAGATTAAAAAATGTTTATAACGAAAGTTAAGCATTACATTCGTGAAGCCCTTGACGATTGCACAAAATGGTGGGCATGGAATAATGAGTAAGATGAACCTTTTGACAGATGGCCGAATGTTAGCAGTGTCTGTGTAGAATGATGGAATGAAAATTCTTTTGTGGGCGTGTGCTACGTTGCCAAATCACTTCAGATGGTGTGATTTTCAATATATGTTGGGTAAGAACTTGTCAAACCGACCAGAGGCAGTTGAATTAACTATATTTTATTAGATGGGCAATTAAATTAACAGTTATTATTTAATCATGAGGAAAGTTATTAAAATTTGAATGGAATGGAGTTTTTTGGTGGAATAGACCAAGAAACTGATTCCATTTATGGTTGTGAAGAGTCAAAATTTGGAGAGATGTGCAGAAATACGTATCGCTCGGGTTACCTATCCTATTTTCTGCTCGACTCCACTTTCCTTCTTTTTGCAGATTTTGCCCATTATTTTCCTATTTTTTGTTATATACCTTTCTCCGCATGATCATTTTCTATATATATACAGGGTGGCCCATCCATGTGTGGACGGAATATTACTCATAAACAAATACATTTTAGAAAAATCTATTTATTGGATGTTATACATGACATTTGAGGGCACATTTCTAAAATATTGGTCATTATACAGGTTGTCCTAATTTCGACCTACATATCAAAGTTGTGATTTTTCAAATGGAATGCCTCAAATTTTATTGCATATTTGGATAAACCATTTAGCTACTGAGATGTAAGATGTTTTGTCCAGAAAAAACCGTCCGCCTCGGCAACCCTTCTATCCGCCATTTTGAAATTTGGAGTGCTGAATTTTGTATCAAAAAAACATACACAGCTCAGCTTTTATCTTATTTGTTACTTTTTGGAATTTTCATTTTTGCTCATACAGGGTGGCCAAAAACGCGAATTATACTTTTTCTCAAAAGTTTCAAATGCATCACCCTGTATATTTGTGCAAGTTTTGATTTCAATGTTTTAAAAACTTTTTTTGGTGTAAGGTTTGATTCAGATAAAATCACTAGATTTTGAGTTATTAAGCTTTTAATAGAACAGCACACCAAAATTAAGGAAAAAAATCACATCATCCATGGAAACAAAAGACAAACAGTGGGCTAGTTCCATATTGGCAATAAGAGTACAGATTGACGTAAAAACTAATAACAATCAGAACAGTATAAATCAGCTACAAGCGTAATAGAGAAAAATAACAATAACAACAACATAAACAAACAACTATCACTACTCAAGACCTAATCTACAAAAACTGCTCGAAAATATCTCCACCATGTTGAATACACAGACGGAGTCTTTGGATAAATGACCGTTGCACATCCCTCAGCATGTGTTGCCTTATATTCAGAAAAGCATCCTTAATCCTTTCCGTCATATTTTCCGGGATAGATGGTGGATATCTATAAACCTCTTACTTAACGTAGCCTCATAGAAAGAAGTCCATCGGTGTCATATCTGGTGATCTAAGAGGCCAAGATATAGGCCCATCACGACCGATCCAACGATTGTTACTCCAGGTGTCCAAATAGTTACGCACACGATTATAATGGACAGGTGCGCCGTCAAGTACATATGCATCCGAGTTTGCAGGTTGACATCCTCCAAAAGCAAAGGCAAATGCTCGATCAAAAAATTCAAGTATTCTGTAAATATTAATCTGTTGTCCTAAAAGAAAGACCCGATAACTGGTCTGCCAATAACTCCTTCCCAAACATTCAAGCTCCATTTATTTTGGAAATCTGGTTGCCTAACCAGTAAGGGTTTTCTGTCGCATAATAGTGCATGTTATGCTTGTTGACAACACCAATGCTGTTAAAAGTTGCCTCATCGCGAAAAAGAACCTTATCCAGGAAAGTAGTGTCTTCACTTTATTTAGCATTATTCTACTAAACTCTATTCGAGCTGCGAAATCCTGAGAACGAAGGTCTTGATGCAAGCATAGGTGATATGAGGTTTTTATTATAATGCTCACAAAGCTAATTTTGACAGTTTGTAACTAATCAACAATATATTTGTTTCCAAGGATGATGCGATATTTTAGGGAATTAAGCCGTTCCATAATAGACGTGCTAATAACCGAAAAAATAGCCGTAAAAACCCTGTTGTGTCTACTATCAAAAAAAGCTTATACAAAATTGAATCCAAACTTGCACAAATCTACAGGGTGATGCATTTGAAATTTTTGAGAAAACCTACAATTTACGTTTTTGATCACCCTGTGTGAGCAAAAATTAAAATTCGAAAAAGTAACAAATAGGATAAAAGCTGAGGTGTGTAAGTTTTTTTGATTCAAAATTCAGCACTCCAAATTTCAAAATGGTTTTTCTAGACAAAACACCTTATACCTCGGTAGCTAATTATCAAAACCCCATAGTATGTTATATCAAACTTTCTTCTTTTGAACTGCTTTATCCAAATATGCAAAAAAATTTTTTTTGGAGATTTTGAAACTATCAACTATTGAAAATTCCCCGAGATTTCATCTTTTTTTTTCCACTGATAACCTCCACATTATCCAGCAGGTGCTGGCTGACTGACATTCTACAGGAGCGTATGAGGTGTGACCTTGAAAATTATTGGTCGGTCACCCATTATGTAGTACTGTGAAGTGTGTTGCCTAATAGTAAGACGTTTTTGTAATGTATAGTGCAAGAGGTTGCGCTATTGTTGACCGATTAAGTGCGAAGAAATTTTCAAAACCCAATAGAAGTTGCTTTGGAAGGAGTGTGATTTGGATGTTATCCTATCAAACAACTGAAAAATCCGTAGGGGGTATTATCACTTGAGGACGAAAACATTGAGAAATTTTGATTTGATTTTATTAAGATAGTGAAAAATTATTGTGTGTAGATTGAGCGATTATTGGGACAAATCGATGTTGGGGGAGATGTGTTGCTTTTCCAATTTTTCGCAGTTCAGCAAATATGCGTAGACGACAAAAACAGGCGTTTTGATAGATGTTTTTCTCTGTCTAGCACCTTGATATCATTGTATCCCATTTGATGCCCTGTGGAATTCACGTATGACGACCCTATTCGTTGACTATGTGTTCCCTTCACTGTTGTTTAAAAAACAATTTCAGCAACAATCTCGCCGATATAGTAAGTAAATAATTTTCTCCTAATTACTATTAGTTGTTATTTTAATAATTGTTTCCAGCTCCAGACGATGAAGAAAAACATTCTTCGAAAGCTTGCGATTTTAAGTTATAAGATTGTACTTTTGCAATACTTTGCCTTCTCCCCAAAGAAATTAAAGGATATCTTCTCCTAACAGTTAAGGCAATTAACTATGAATACTATACTTCGAAGTTGAGTCATTTATTTTAACAGTGAGTAGATCTGATCAAAAGAAATGATTTTTTCCTTTAACATTTTTCTGGTAAAATTAAAGTAACAAAGTTATAGCCCTTTAGAAGTTTGAGTACCGCCCTGTCTCAATAATAATATTATGTGCTCGTGTTTGGCAACAACGGATATATCGGTTCATCGCATCGGAAACAAAAAAGCGAAAGAATTTGAAACGTTTATCACGATGTTTTTCGTCATTCGGTAACGCGTGAGTGAATAGTGGTGTTTGTTGCGTGGCTCAAACGAAATAAAAAATGGCACATGTTTACGAAAATGCTCAACTTGTGGACATGATTCTTATTTACGGGGGGGGGAGTCTTTACAAAATGCTGCCGCGGCATCACGGATTTGTGCGAATCGGTTTCTCAATCGAGTGCAACGAACCCCTCGTGCCTTGTTAATGTAGTACAAAGGGCTCGTGAATCAGGTGACTTAAGACCTCACAGGGGAGGGCATGCCGGTGCTCCAAGACCGCACGATCAAATACAGGTCCGCACTGAAATACTTGTCGGGAGGATACTTTATAAAACAAGGTAACATTTTTTTTTGATTTTTTTTTTATTTTTACACACATATTTTGGTTTATCTTCCTTCTACAATCATTATCTGAAAATTAATGACTCAACTTCAAAGTCACCCTGTATATATATATATATATATAGGTGAAAAATTAAAGCTTCCGCCTTTTGTTGGGTACTTCGACAAGATTTAAGCAAAGAGGACTCTTTATACTTTTTTTAATTCTCTCTAGCTTTCAATGGACTTTGCCATCATCATCAGGAGCTGCAATTACAATGATAACAGTAGCAACAAAGGTGTAAAATGAATTTAAATTGACTCAACTTACAGTAGTATGTGAGGATGTTGCTAATTGTTGTTTACGTATAGGATGAGGGAAACGTCCAGTAACATGGTGAGAGCTGAATAGATTGCACAATAGTCAAAATTTATACAAAACATGACAAGAACAAGTTAAAACAGATTAAAAATTATTTAAAAAATTTAAACATTACATCGTGAAACCACCTGATGATTGCACAAATTAGTGGTCATGGAATGATGAATTGATGAGTGACATGAAACACTTTGACAGAAGGCCGAAGGATGTCAATGTCAGTATTGAAAGATGGAACGAATTGTGGGCGTGTGCCAAAACGTTGCCAAATCACTTCAGATGATGAGATTTTTAGAATTTTATGTTAGAATTTGTTAAACCGACCAGAGGCAGTTGAATAAACTATTTATTATTAATGGGAATTTAAATTAACAATTATTAATAAATCGTGAGGAGAGAATTATTATATTTTGAGTGGAATGAATTTTACTGGTGGAAACGGCCAAAACACAGATTCTAATTATGGTTGTGAAGAGTTGAAATTTGGGGAGATATGTAAGTTCTCCAATTTTTCGCAGTTTAGCAAATATGAGTAAATGACACTCAGTTGTTTAACATCTGTCTTTTTGTTGATACAGTTGTTATTCATGAAAATGTGGGACATTTCCAGGAATAAACGTTTGGAAAGGTGTTTTTCTTTATCAAGAACTTTGATACTTGTGTAATTCATAGAATGCCCTGTTGTGTTAACATGAGATGCTAGAGCGCATCTTTCAGGATGTAGCCTAGCATCACTTTTGTGTGATGTATCCTTCCT